TAACAACGTCTGTAATCAGGCGAAGGAATTATAGTTTCGTCGCCATGAACATTTTGGCACCTAGTTATGATTGGTTTACTGGACTTTTGATCCATTTTTAGATATATGTCGGAAGACCAACTAATGGAGTTTTGATCTAAAATTTCGTCTATTGATAGGTCCAATGATTGACTCTTAGGATATCCGGAAAGTTTCAGCTGAAAAGAATGTTCGTTCATCGAGTCATTGAATTTTCAAGTGAATTTGATTTTTGTGACAAAGGACTATTTTTGAAAATTCAATATCTTAACGAAGGGATTTGACGGATTTGGTGCCGAAAATCTACAATCTTTGTAGGAGGTAGGGAAATTCAAATACAACTCCAGTTAAATTGAAGAATTGGATTTTGCGCATGCCTACTCTCAATAGTGAGCACCTCCATAAAATGAGTACTTTACGCCAATCTCGATGATGCTCACATTAGTGAGGTTTTGCTTTATGGAAAATAAGAGTTATTGAGATATAAAAACGACATTATTCATTTATTAAATGCATCTTATATGTTATTAAACGAGAAAGCTTAATACAAATCTTTCATTTGAAAAAAATAACGCAGACAAATTTTTCTCAAGTTTATATTTTGTATTTGCATGAAAATATTCATCAAAAATTCCATTTACATTCTTAATCCATTTAAATAATCAATAAATATTCTATGAATAGGAAAAAATAGCTGCTGCTCATCTATCACCATTAGTCGATATAAATAGTTCAACAAGTGTTCTTTATGGTCTTCCACAACGTATTGTTGCTGCTGAATCACTTGTTTTTCTTGCTGAGCAATTTGATTTCCTTCTTCCATATTTAAAATTAATGATTCCAACTGATCGTCATACATTTTTAACACAATTTTATTCTCAAACTATACAAGTAGCACATGAATTACGTATTCCAATATATCATAATGTTTCAGCTAATATTCTTGATTATATGTCAATAGCATTAATGATAAGTAAAGTTAATTGGGATATAGGAGAAATTTTAACACAACATAATGTTTATGTTGATATACTTGCAAATGAATTACAAACATTTCGAAATCGTTTCGATCATATTAATGAACAATTATTATCTATACCAAAAGCTGTTTATAGAACAATATGGGATCAAATATTAGATAAAATATTTTATACAATGGTTGAAGGGTATATGATTAAATTCTATTAATAAAAAAATCATTTTAAATATTTAATATTTGTTATTTTTTAGGTATGCAAGTGCTAAACGATGCAGTAATGAGGGTCGAGCATTAATGCAACTCGATTTTCAACAATTACTTCGAAGATTAGAACGTATTATTGAAGATCTTAAGTATGTTTTAGAGAAATAATATAGTTAATTCAACATTTATTTAAACTCATATTTTTATGATTATCAACGTACGTTGAAAAAAGGGTATTCAAAATGATTGTCATCTAGATCTTGTTGAGAATTGAAAATTTTTCAATCTGGACTTGATTTATTAAACTTTTTCGGATCCGTGCATGATAATCGGTCTGGAGGCATGAGATACTTTTTTTTCGATTATGTGTATTCGGTGACTATCACATCTTACACATATCTCAGGCAATTTTGACGATAATTTTATAAGAATTCAGGTATATTTAGCTCTTAATTTTAGAAAAGTATCCGTTGAATCGATCACGATCAAAAGAAAATTTCCAGAGACAAATACAAATCTGATATCCTAATTGATAAACTGAATACAATAGCGTTTTTAAACTATAATTACTCTCTCAAGTCAAGTTGTTACATCTAGATCAACATTCTACATTCATGACTACTTGGAAGATACCTATACTGCTTTTCTTTGCATATAAAATTACAGATCTTTTTTGTTTAAATATTTTACAACATTGTATTTTATAATCGATCAACGAAAGAAGATAATTTTGAGCATATTAAAGATATATTAGTAGAAACATTTTATGACCTTCATTTCTCTTATAAAATAATAAGTACAGAAGAATAACTTAAGTAATACATTTTATTTAGTATTAAATAATATTCGTTTATATATGATCTAATTAATTTAGACCTTTACCACATAAAGAATTTGTTGAAAATTATATAAAAGCTTATTATTTACCTGAACAATCAATTGATCAATGGATTCGAGATAATACAGTAAAATAAAATAAATATCTTTTTTTTCTTTCTATTTAATTATTTGATGTATATATATATATATATAGATGTATACAATAAAACAACGAATGGCATTAGTAACAATGATGTCACATTTAAGTAAAAAGAAACGTGCACAATTAGCACAATATCTTGATGAACAAGATCGATCTCGTACTCCAGTATTAACAACCTAATAGAACATATATGCATTCCATTTAATTTATATTTGTCTTTTTCTTTTTGTGCAATACTTTTATTCATTCCGGATATTCTTTTATTGTATATTTTGTAAAAATAGATATCTTATCTTTTATGTTAACTAGTCATTCATGGGCATGTGTGTTATCATCATGAACTCATATAAGGAGAATTTTTTTCCTTTTTTTTTTTTTTTTTTAGCAAGAAATTTATTCTTGTATATCCGTTTGATTTGAAAATTTTTATTGATCTATATTGTTCTATGAATAAATCAAATCGATAATATATATATATATATATATTTATTTATTTATATTTATTTGAATTTTATTCACAGATGATATCGATATTAAAAAGATATAATAACTTCGTCTTAAAAAATCCTTTACTCGCAATGAGTTTAACAACAGGTATAGAATGATAGAATTCTGAAATAAATATATTTAATTTAAAACAAAAAAAAAACACAAAATAGGAACAACAATGGGTTTGGGAAATATTATTTCACAAACAATAATAGAAAATCGAACATTGAAGACTATTGATTGGCCTCGTGTTACTCGATTTGCTGCTTTTGGTTATTTATTTTCGGTATATTAGATTTTGTTGAAGAAATAATATTTGTAAATAGTTACTTTCTATTTTGTTTATCAGGGACCATTTCTTCGATATTGGTATTATGGATTAGATAAATATTTTGCTGGTGTCAGATTACAACCTGTGAAAATGATGATTGCCGATCAGGTTCATTTGTTTTTTGAGACAATATGAAGAAAATACGTTTTTTTTTTAATATGTAGGTTATTGCCGCACCACTTCTTAATACTGTTATTCTTTTTTATCTCCCATTAGTTAGTGGAAAATCTATGACTGAAGCGAAACGACGTTTTCGTCAAGTAAGTTAAATGGAATATAGTTTTAAGTTTTTGAATAAATGATTATTGTATGTTTTTTTTTTTTCTTAATAGGATTTTCCAACTGTAATGAAAGCTAATTATTTAGCATGGCCTGCCATTCAGCTAACGAATTTTTATTTTATTCCATTACAACATCGGTAAGTAGAAGAATTCGAATATAAATATCAAAGATGAATACTTCTGTTTTTAGTGTTCTGTTTGTCAATATGTGTTCATTAATTTGGTCAACATTTCTTGCATATGTTACAAAATGATCAAAAATAATAGAATTGTTTGATATTAGTGTGATATGATTTTAGATTTTTGTTTGGTTTGATTTTTCACTCTATTTTTTGTAATTGTTATTCAAGCATAAAAATATCCATCATTGACATATAAACGAGCTTTCATACAATAAAAAAATTAGAATTGTTAACGGTGAAAGAATACTTCACTTTCAGAAGAATATTCTAAACACAAGTGTATAAATATCTTTAAGTAAAAATCAAAAATTGATTACAAAAATTTTAGACTGCCATCAGTCAAGGATCATGTATAGACTATGCCAGAATATTGTATATCTTCGATCTCTACTGTTCAATTCAGAACCGGAACCATTTTCTCAGCACTAATTGCAATTATCAAGAGCTACAAAATTGCTAAAACAACAAGTTGCAAAAAACTTGTTGTTATTATTTTTTACTTATAGATATCATCGATAATAGACAAGATAGTATATGGTAGTTAATATCCGATATCTATGATTTCTAGCACTTCATCCAGAAGTAAAGAACTTTAGTAGATCAAAATTGTTGCATAAGATATATTTTAGAAGGATAATATTTAGACTACCATAACTCGAGTGCAATTGAACTTCCTCGAGCATTATTTGATGCATGTGGTACGTAATTCTTTCGTCTAAGTATTAACTGTTGTTGTATTTTGATTTTATGAATATGGATTAGTTTCTGATAGTTGATAATGGATACTTTCAGGTTTCTCAATCTGAAGTTATATATTATAATGTGAACACTGTTGTTATCTAATATCGAATGTGATCACGAAATAAAACGATATTAGAATTTCGTTTGTTGATAATAATGATCATGAAGGATTATCGACAATTTCTATTCTTGCTTTTTCATCGTGAAAGACAATATAAAATATTATCACCTTCATTGGATGATTCAACAAAGGTATCCACTAACTCACCGTCATGAAGAAGTTTTAAGTATGGATCAAATGGTTGATTCACCAAAGTATCATTGTGATGATATTGGTATCCTTAAAACAATATTGCAGTTGCTCGATGTAAGCATACATCAACTTTTCTGTTGTCACTTGGACCGTTGTAGCAGCTGTTTTGGATTTCTTCTTCAATAAATTAAGTATAAGTATAATATGACTTAGTGTTACCGTGACGGGATTTGAAACGAATCCGAATAAGTTGAAGACCGGTGTTACATATCTGTAGCGGAGAATTAGTTTGATTACTCATGTTAGTGCTTGAGCAAATTCTCTTCGAAGTAAACACAACCCTGTTTTAATTGAAATACCCAGGTACTTTTTGGAATCGTCGAAATCTATAAATAAGAAAGCGAATCCGAACAAGACAAGGTCGAATGCTGCGCTAACTTTGCTTACGCTTTCTTCTGGCCTATAACTCAATTGAAAAATTTTATTTATTCCTATTCATATCATCGATAAATTCGACTAATATCATTAATAAAAAATTGAATCATTTTTCTTTTTAGTGTATTTTATGTGAATATATATATTCTATATGGTCAGCATTTGTAACAAAATAATATTCATTAATCTTTCTTTTGTATTTTTTTTTCTCAATGTTGAATGAATCACAAAGACACAAAAAAATTAGTAATAACAGCAATAATCAAAGACAGAAAAAAAAATAGACGTGCTCACTTACACATTGTATAAACAAATGATGAGAAGAAAAACATAACTAATAATAAATATCTATGGTTGTTTTTTTCTTCTTTTTTGATTTTTCTTCCAACCACGAGGTGCTTCATCGTCACCAAGACTTTCTTCATCAGAATCAGTTTCGTGTTTTTTACCAAGTATAAGATCACGCAATTTTTGACTACTAGATGAATCAGAATTATAATCATCTTCATAATCAACATTTGGATTATCTGTTGTCGTTATTGGAGTAAATGATGATGATGTTCGTTGTTGTTTCGTTGATCGGGATCCTTTGTCATTTGAATCATCATTATCATTTTTTTTATTATTTTTATCATCATCATCATCATCAGCGTCATCTTCATCTTCATTACAAAAATCATTGACTTCTTTTTCCATATCAGATAATTCATCAACACTCATGCTAAAATTGTATTGTCGTGTTGTTGGTTGATCATCTTCATCAGTCGGATCACTGGGTATATCAGTAGTCAGAGGTATTTCAGGTGTACGAGAACGTTTTAAGGATGGTTTTGTAGATTTACTTATTGTTGAACTTGATATTTGTTCATCATCAGACGGATTTTGAGTCTCAAAAAAAGAAAACAATATAAATCAATGACGTGAAGATAAATAGATAAATCTTGTATTTCATCTAAGCACTCGATGATATATTGATCAGTCTATATCGTATATAACAGAAATATACTACCTACATATTGCAAAATGTCAAAATATTATTTTAAATAGACAGAACATCGATAAGATAAAATCCAAAATAGTAAAAATGAAATATTACTGACGGTATATATACAGTTCTCTATCGGTAACAAAGTGAACAATTTTTAATATGAATATACTTTTGTAAAAATGATTTACTCATAAAAGAAAAACTTCAATTTTGAATAAATTATTTACTTTAAAAAGTAAATCCCTAGTATAGATTGAAAAATTTGTACATTTGTATATAATAGAAGACTCGAGATTTGCTATTGCAAAAACGGAGTTTACATCGAAAATATTAATAAAAAAAAAATGTTAAAACAATGAAACAAGTAATTATTTAGACTTCGAAAAATATAATAATGATATCACCATTCTATAAATATTCTTTAATTTGATTTAATAAATACATTATTAATAACAATGTGTTACCTTTTGTTTAATCAAAGATATTCGTTCATTTCCAGTATTAAAATCATTAAATACTACAAATATAATTTAAAAATAAATATTAATTTTATTTTTATTTTTAAATAAATTTTACTTAGTCTTGGTGTTTCTTTTGTAAATAATCTTGATTTTTTGACATCATAATTTGGATGTAAAATATAATTTTCTTCAGTTTTTCTTTCCCATTGTTCATAACAATCAATTAACCATTCAGGTGTAACAACATGAATATTATATTTTATAGCTCGATCAACTTTAGTTGTTCGTTTTCCTGCAATAACATGTGTTGTTAAACAATTACCATTATCATCAATTTGTAAATCTTGTGTAACATTTGCACCCATAGCTCGTGCAATAAGTGTTGCACGATGTTTTTCTAATGGATAACCTTGTGGCATTAAATGAGAAAAACAAAGTGATACATTTGTAAGTACTTGTCGACGTATATCAGGTAAGATTTGTTTTAAATCTGGCATATCACGTGTTTTATCTTGTGTCCATTGATCATATGATGCAAAAAATTCAGTATGAATACGTTTTAAAATTATTTCTAATTGATCTAAATAATTGTCATTGTCAATAGTAATATTTGGATCATTAGTTACTGGCAAAGTTGTAGTGTTCGTTTGTCTATATTAGTAAAAAGAACAAGTTTCGTTAATTTTTGATTGTGTTTGACGAAGAGATTAATTATAGAAGCTTTGGAATGAATGTACTATCTCAGTTATACTACAATTGATTGATAGAAATACTTCGTAATGAGATTTGAATTAGTTTAAAAGAGTTTTTTATTCGTAGGTTTTTGCTTAGGAAATATGATTTTACTAAGAGTTTAACATAAGACTTGAAATTTCAGCCTAATTGTATGTATCTTTTCTTTTTAAGATGTTGGCTACTTCAAAACGATCATATTTTCATAAAAACCGATAGTATCTACTTTTGCTAATATTATTAATGTATTATAAAACTCATAAAGCCTATCTATAAGCGAAATTTCA